CCTCTCACGCTGATTCTTCTTCCCAAAAATCACATATATTCCAAAAAATTTCCATAAATTTTTATCGTGTTTGGACTTTGTTTGATATGGATATTCTGTGAAATAAAAACATGTAACAAACATGAACTGGAACTGGGCACTGGAACAATATGTTAGTCCCAAAAAATGATATAAAAAGTTGCCAAAAGTATATGAAAATTGTAGAATATTAGCTTGAAACAATCAAAATTATGGAGAAGATGGAGACGTATCAGGCACCCAATTTAACTCCAAAGTGTGTGAGCCTAGCCGGCCTTACAAGGAAACATACTTGGATTCCCTATTTGCTATGTCCTTATGGCCGACGGAACTAGACATGTGTTGAAAACTATGAAGATGACCTCGTACACTTCCGTGGACTTATTTCATTGAAAGTTGTATGGTTGCAAGGTCCAGAGGTGGATAAAACATGCGTCAAACAAACCATAAGACTAAAAATATTCCATATTAGCTTTCCGAGTAGCTAAAATTGGATGCCATGTTTGTTTGATTTAGTTATTAATTCTGTTTTCTAACTCTAATGAGTGCACATAGTGGAAAATGAAAAAAACATCATCTGTTCGTTAAAAGAAAGATGTGATACCAAGAGGCCCCTCACTATGCTTCCTCGGCCGTCTGTTCGCCTAGATGAAGCGCCAAGACCCCTCACACGTCCTTAACTCAGGAGCGCCTTTTTCAATGTTGCATGAGTGGTTGGGACACGACCCTCTCCAACTCCCATCTCATTGTTTTATGGGACACAGATGCATGTTGGCGGAAAAACCTCACATTGGTTGCAGCTCATAGGTCAAACCACTTGAGAAAGCCTATCCTCGTTAGAAATGAAGGTGGAGTTAAGTCTCCAAATGTGTCATGTTGCTTCCCTGAAATGATGTTCTTGGAGAAAACTAAGTTTCTAGAGGTGTGCCAACCACACATTCTATTCTACCTCCATAGCCTATATGTGAACTTATTAATTCCTTGTGCACTCGAGCCCGCTGTGATCGATTATTATGTACAAATTTGAGCAAACTGTGTGTCTACGGTTTAAATCATCTCTTGATTATTATTTGTGTAGGATTTGGTATCATTTTTTGATATGTATTCTAGAAGGAAAGGAGCAATCAAAATCATAAATGAAGCAAGTGGCACAATTCGACCATCGAGGTACATATGCATACTTTTTACTAGCCCAAAAGTAAGAAGGCATTTTGTATATCAAACTAATTGTTCCAAGAAATGACATCTTCGCATAGTACCACAGCTGAAAGTTCATGACTTACTAATTTACTAACCTAAGATCCTGAAAAATTGTAATACGAACATAACCAGGATGACACTTCTTCTCGGAGCGCCCGGTTCTGGGAAAACAACATTTTTGAAGGCATTGGCAGGAAAGTTGGATTCATCTCTAAAGGTAGGTTGGGTTATGTACGTACCACAAAAAATACCGACATACAAGGTCTAATGGAAATTGCATTTTTCTTGATGTAAAATATCTTACTAGCGGAAAGGAAAGATCACATACAACGAAAAAGAAGTGAATTCCTCAACACCTCAACACATGCATGCTTACATTAGCCAGTATGATCTTCACCATGCCGAGATGACTGTCAGAGAGACAATTGATTTCTCGTCCAATATGTTGGGAACCATTAATGAATTTGGTAAGTCATTGTCCTAAGTATGGTGTGCTATTCATATTATAGATCTTACATATAGCTCTAAACTATGTGCTTATGAATGAGATTAATTTTGTAACAAAATGCATAAACTTGAACTCAAAAAAGTTCCCATGTAGATGGTAAAGGTATCCTTTATTTTTCATGTACATGAATAGTAATCAATACGATTACTGTATTTGATAAACATAGAGATGATGGAACAATCGGTAAGAAGAAAGCAAGGTGACATCAATGAAGTGGAACAAAATCTTGACTCCTTCATTAAGGTGATTACTTCAATTTTCTCAATCTTTATAATACATTTCATCTCCCCAACCACTTAAGATATGTTGTCTACAGGCTACAACATTTGGAGAAGGAAGTAACCTTACAACAAACTATATTATTAAGGTACCACTAACTCTTCAACCTATTGTCATTTATCTTGACAACATAATCACAAGATTTCTATGATGCAGATACTTGGTTTGTCTGAGTGTGCTGATATCCTAGTGGGGGATGAGATGAGAAGAGGCATATCGGGAGGACAAAAGAAAAGAGCAACAATTGGTTAGCATTTTATCCTATGTGCCATGTATCTTGTTCCTCTTTGTTTAAATTTTAGACTCTCTTGAAATTTACTACCAAATTTACCCTCATAGCTTGATCTTTATGGAGAAAACTAAATTTCCGATCCCTTAACTTATCTACTTATGAATTTTGCATCCCTTAATTTCAAAACTAGTCCACTTTGCACACTGAACTTGCCAAAACTAGACAAATATGGACATGTTTGGTACCTCGATTGAACCAAAGTTTTACCCAGCAGGGTATTGAACAATTGTCTCTCATGTGTCAACATTTCTATTTCCTCTATCTATAGTGTGGAAATTTTGTCGAGCACTCTTGTGATGTCTGCACGGAGCGCTGCCCGGGGTCTATGGCGTGTCGGCCTACACTACGCCCCGCAGAGTGTCTCCGTTCAGCGAGTTATGCACCGTCACCACCGATGGCCCTTTTATCTAGCAAGACATGGCCCTATCTCAAGCCGCGCATGCGCTTGACCGTGTCTAGTTCCTCGTCTTTTTACCACCCTAACCATCAGCGATGGACCCATATTTAGTTGAGTGCCCCCCTCCCACACAGACACACACTAAAGTTTTTATTTTTCAATAATATATATTTACTAGTGTTGTTTCATAAAATATGCTTAAATTCTTTGAATTTCTCGAGAATATGCCCCTACTCAAGTAGTTTCCCCTCACTCAAAGTACTTTCTAGGTGCACCACTGCTCACTGTTGTAACACCCGGGTGACATAGAGTGAGATGGTATTGACATGCACACCAACTCATCTTTCACAAGTTGCACCCATGGTTCGATACCAGTGCCAACCATGCTATGAATTAGCCTAGAAACATCTGTCAAGCGCGGATGTTTCATCACACATCACTGCAACAAATTCTCATCGTTTCCTCCTCTGGAAGGTACTACCATGTGATGGCATGTTGCTAGAGGCAGTGACCGCTTGGGACTCCACTCATAGGTGTTCGTCGGCTAGGAGGACACAAAAGCATATCATCGCCCTTCCCTCTGGTGATGTGGCGATGCCACCTGACGCGGGTTGACACCTCTCCCCACGCGTAGGCGCCTCCGTCTATAGTGTTGCACCACCCCCATGCATGCCCACCTCCGCCCGTGGAGCACCTACTGGAGGCAGCCGACGGGCTGAGCCAACCGCCATCAAGGAGGTTCCCATATATGGTGATGTAGCTATCCTGGAAGCCCGGACCTGCTAAACGCCACACACTTGCTATTTGGCATTCTCCTCACGCCCACACTCTTGGGTAACCCCGGTTGTTGATGATTCTCTTGCTAGGACATCAACATCTCCTGTGAACTAAACCATCGACATAAAGTGTCATGCTATTGTCGTTATTGGTGGTAGTGCAGGAAACATGGTTGATGAAATGCCATGTAATATTTACATTAGTACATTTCCACCTCGGCAATGACTTGTCAAACCACGATGAGTGCGCTCTTCACCTTTTGTTTTCACATCCTCGAGTGCACTTTCCGAACATATATTTTTATAATAGTCAACACAGCTAATATTTCTGCCACCTTGACCACACTCTTATTGATAAAATATTCCTCAATTAGACAAAATGTATTAGTGCACCATATAAGGATATAGTGTAATAACGTGTCAAAATGGCACCATAATTGCTGGACATATTCGATCAAAGGACACTAAGAAAAAAAATCTATACTAAAAGATTAAAATAAGTTTTTTTAGCTACCCCCCGTTCCATATTAATTGACGTTGAAATGGATGTATCTAGACGTATTTCAATGCTAGATACACCCATTTCAGCGTTGATTAATATGGGACGGGGGGGTACTATTTAGCATAACAACTCATCAAATTTGATATATGGATGTAAATAAGTAGAATTTTCTCGACATCGTTAATCTTGTTTAATAGTCTTTCTTCTGATTAATCTTTGTAATAAACAACATAAAATGGCATATTGTGTCCCATGATTTCAATTTTCATTTGTTTTAATCTATCAAAATTAGAATTCACAAGAATATCTCCACCAACTCTATCTCTATCACTGCCTCATCACATTCCCTTCATCTTTCTCCCGAATGGAACCCATTCGAGTGAATTTGGAAAATTAATGATCGGCGGCAATGATGATCTTAAAATAGCTTTATGTTGTCAACCATGTGTGTTCATGCAATCATCTAGTGTAGCTATGTATATGTCATTAAGTTTGTAAACAACATGTGGTGCAGGTGTGCAATAACTAATTCAGCCAATGTGTTACATGTTTGCAAAAAATATGCATTGCATGTGCGACAATGACAATACTATTAAATGAGCCCTTTCTCGTGAACCTTTTACCATTATCCATAAAAAACATATTCCATATCAGGTTGACATTTGATATTTATTCTAGTAAACCAGAGCAACTGTATGTATGTTAGAGCAATTAGTGCAAATCGAACCCTAAGCTTGGATATGAGGTCAAAGCTAAACGAGGAGATGTAAAATATGATACTCCAAACCTTTATAAATTTTTATCATTTGGGATAAATAAAATTGTTTTGTGAACATTCCCTCTAGCATGCGGTATGATGTGGAAATTTTGCTAATGTTGCACGTGACGTGCTTCAGAATGTGATTGGTGTGATGAAAAATGTTGAAAATTTGGTAAAAAATAAAACATTGAAAAAATATTGTAAAATACTTAAGATAATATATATTCAATTCTAGATAAAAAATATAAATGCATGTCTAGCTATGCAGTGTTATTTAACACTCCTGAAAAATATGTTGTTATCATTTAGTTTCCATATTATGCCTAGTTATTTTGAGTGTTTTGGACCTTTGGCATCAACTTCTACCATTTGACAAAAATTCCGCTAATATCTAGATTCTAGAATAATTTTGAATCTCCTTTAAAATGAAATGGCTAAAGGGTGGGTGGTCGTGTCCATATTCACCTGCCCATTACTGAGTCACTCTCCGACCAAACTAGGTGACTACCAGATTTTTCATCATGTTTTATGTTGTTATCACATGGATACAACTATAGGGGCCCACCATATCTTTCTTTCGTGTAAATTTTATTATCTTCATAAAATTTGAAATCCCCTATTTTAGAAAAATTATGAAGTTTCCAAGTTGTTCCAAAGTTCCAAAAAGGTAATAAATGGGGGTCCAAAAATGGAAGTTCTCTTACGAGGGAATTGGTTAGTTTAAAATAAAACATGGGACATGTCTGAAAGGGACTGCTAGTAATTTTCTTAGCAGGTGGCCTCCCAAAAGTTATACTATTTATGAATTAGGAATTTTGGTATTTATATGTGTCAAGAGGAAGTGCATGAGCACTTACCTATGATGTGCGTGTCATTTTATGGCCCATATTCCTCCCCTCTCATGTGGCGCACCTGAGGGGTGGAGGGTAGCGTGGGCAACCAATTCCCCAAGGTGGACCACCCACATGTTACATTAAAAGGAGTCATGCCGCTACCAAATAGGGTGAAGTCAAAAACATGTATGCCAAGAAGATCAAGACTGAGGATGGTGGCCACCGACCAACACCTCCATATGGCCTTATAGGATGGGTGCATGACTACTTTTACTCCAAAAAAACTAGAAGATTATGATAGCTCATTAATAGATCCGACCTTTCTAGATCATACACCTCCAACTGCAGCGAGTTGGCCCCCGTTACACAAATAAATGACGTCCAACATATTGTTATTAAGTAGTTTGTGAAACATCATCGATAATATGTTCTCTACCACATCATGTGTGACATCACAAAACCTTACGCGCATATGCCGCGTCCACACAACCCCCTGAAAACCATCTTAGTATTCAAAAGAATTTGATCTTAAAATTCGAGGATTCTAGATATATGGTATTGGAGTTCTACCTTGACCTCATACTAAACTCAACATGTTCAGAATGAACCTTTTTCTCTTATTTGATGGAATCGAGAATCAATTAGACTACTGCAAGGTGCTCATAAAATGCACTAGATTCGTAAAATATATTTTGTATTCACTGAAGTACATGTTAATAACACAAACTAACCCATTCTACAAAAAAGTATGCCAGCTAATCAACTATGTAGAACAAAAGCATATTACATGGTGCCAACTATGTAAAACAAAAACATAATACATGGTGCCAGTGCGATTGCCATCAAATACAATATTGATGTCCTAATTAATCACTTATTTGTGAATGTATTAGTGTTGTTGTATTTCATGATGAATTTCTTGATGCAGGAGAGATGCTAGTTGGTCTAGCAAGATGCTTCTTTATGGATGATATTTCGACTGGTCTTGATAGCACCACGACATATGAGATAATAAAAGTTATACAACAAATGACTCATTTAATGGATCTCATGGTGGTTATTTCCTTGCTTCAACCACCTCCCGAGACATTGGAATTATTTGATGACATAATCCTTTTATGCGAGGGTCAAATTGTATATCATGGTACTCGAGAAAAAGCTACTGATTTCTTTGAGTTCATGGGATTCACATGCCCCAACAGGAAAGACATAGCTGATTTCCTTCAATAGGTACTACATTAAATTTTTATGAAGGAATTACTAGATAAACATTAGTGTTGATTTAACTCTCAGTACTAAATCATTATTTGGAATAACTTTGGGCCAACTAGTACATTAAAGGCACGAACTATGGTTAGCATTGAGTCACAACTTCATCCACAAAATTCAGTATTACATTGTGTACTTGTGCATAATAACATATAGTAAAAAAACTAACAAAACCTTTTTCCATTTGTCCAGGTGACCTCAAAGATGGACCAAAAGCAATACTAGATTGGTGAGGAACATATGTATCACTACCATCCAATTGAAAAATTTGCTGAATCCTTCTATTCATCATATCTCCCTCGACTTGTACAAGATAAACTATTTGTGCCAAACAATAGAGTAGAGAGTGAGGAGGCGAAAACTAGTTCAGGTCTCTCCAAATGGAATATTTTCAAGGCATGCTTTTCAAGGGAAGTACTTCTTCTAAAAAGAAACTCCCCACTACATATATTCACGACCATACAGATAACAGTCCTTGCTTTGGTGATATCAACCATTTTTCTTCGAACAAGTATGAACCAAAAATCTATTATTAATGCGAATAAATATATCGGAGCTCTCTTTTTGGTTGTTATGATAGTAAACTTCAATGGCATGGTTGAAATTGCTGTGACAATAAAGCGACTTCCCACTTTCTACAAGCAAAGAGACCTTCTAGCATTGCCAGGATGGGCAATCCTTACTCCAATTTTTCTTCTTAGTATCCCAATATCTTTTGTACAGACAAGTCTTTGGACCGTCTTAACCTACTATGTGATTGGCTACGCACCTTCCTTTATTAGGTACATCTCCGCTTGGTCAATTCAATATTTAGGTTATCGCGGAAGCTTAATCAAGTTGTAGTGATAGAAAATAATTTCCTTAATTACTTTTTGCAGATTCATGAAGCATTTCTTGGTACTTTTTTCCATGCATCAAATGTCAATGGGCATGTGTCATTTATTAGCGGCGGTAGCAAGGACACTAGTAATGGCCAACGTGCTTGCCACCACATCTCTTATAGCAATCTTCATATTTGGTGGCATCGTCATTTCAAAAGGTTGGATGCGATTTAGCTTATTTTTAAGTAAGATGTATGACAAACCTATAACACAAGACATGTGTGCACACCAAGCTTCTAAGACGCTCAAATATTCTTTACATTGAACAGATGATCTCAAACAATGGTTACAATGGGGATATTGGGCATCCCCATTCACTTATGCACAAAACGCAATCTCCCTAAATGAGTTCCTTGATGAAAGATGGGCCACAGTAAGCAATCATTCATCTAGTGTTTTGGATACAATGTATACCTTATATAGCATAGATGCGACCTAATGATGATATCCTCTTGTGATAGGAATTTCCTTATGAAAATGCTAATACCATTGGCGACGCTATCCTCAAGATCAGGGGGTTGCTCATAGATTGGCACTGGTATTGGATTTGTGTCACTATATTATTTGGATTCTCGTTGGTGTTCAATATACTCAGTATCTTTGCACTGGAGTTCATGAAATGTATGTATATCAAAGAAATATAAAAAACAAAAAGTATTGAGCTATAACTATAGTCGATATTTATCATGTTTGTTTACGATTTGCAGTGCCACACAAGCATCAAGTTAACAACAAAGCTATGAAGGTAATGAAAGAGTGCACAAATAGGATAGTCGGAATTGGCAATGGGTCAATTCCACAAGGTGTTCTCCCATTTCAGCCTCTTACCTTTGTATTTGATCATATCAACTATTTTGTCGAAATGCCTAAGGTATACTCTCAAACAAAACTTACTTAACTAAATAGTAGCATCCATCTAGTCACATATTCACTATAGAAATACATATCTTACACTAGGAGATGATGAAGTATGGAGTAACTGATAAAAGGCTTCAGTTGCTACAAGATGTTAGTGGTGCTTTCAGACCAGGGGTGCTAACAGCTTTGATGGGAATCACTGGTGCTGGAAAGACAACATTACTCGACGTTTTGGCTGGAAGAAAAACTGAAGGATATATTGAAGGTACTATCACAATAGAAGGATATGCAAAGAAGCAGGAGACATTTTCAAGGATCTCTGGCTACTGTGAACAAAGTGATATCCACTCACCTAATCTCACTGTATATGAGTCACTGCAGTTTTCTGCATGGCTCAGGTTGCCTTCAAAAGTTAAATCTTGCCAAAGAGATGTATGTATGATTGTTAACACCATTAGAAGTTTAATCTATAACATGATATCTCATAATGCATGCCTTTAAATTTATTTCAGATGTTTATAGATGAAGTCATGGATCTAGTTGAGTTAACAGGACTGAAGAATACCATGGTGGGTCTGGCAGGAGCAACTGGCCTGTCAGCTGAGCAACGAAAAAGGCTAACAATGGCTGTCGAGCTTGTTGCTAGCCCTTCCATTATATTTATGGATGAGCCGACCACTGGCTTGGATGCCCGTGTTGCGGCGATTGTCATGAGGGCAGTAAGAAAGACAGCAGATACTGGACGAACCATTGTTTGTACAATTCATCAGCCAAGCATTAGGATATTTGAATCTTTTGATGAGGTATGAGTAAGTCATATTATTAAATTTCTCAAAATATTCCTACAAAATACAAGCAAGAAATGAATAGTTAGGTGGTTTGAAGATCAATGACTAGAAAGAGCATCAAACTAACAATACACATAACCAAAAACTATCATTTTTTGCAAAATGAAAGAAACGGCGATAAATAAAAATAGAACTACCTTATCAATTACAAAGAATTAAACCCACCATGTTTTTTTGCCAAAGTGAAATATTTGATGTAATTGGCCCTCCCATTTCCTTTTGTATATGTGTTGATAGTAGCATACAAGTACTTGCTAATGAAAAAAAGTGTCCTTTTACATGTATTTTTAAACAGAGCCTTCAATAAGATTATTAGTAAGTAATAGTTATTTACTTCCTTAACTCAATTAAATTTGACAAATTGCAGCTTCTACTCATGAAAAGAGGTGGTCAGATCATATATAGTGGTTCACTAGGTCGACTTTCTAGCAACATGATAAAATATTTTGAGGTAAGATTGGCCAATTTTGATTGTTCATTCTCGATGGAGAGCAAAACTATTAAAAATTTCTTTACACAGGATATCCCCGGTGTTCCTAGAATAAAAGATGGACAAAACCCAGCATCATGGATGTTGGATGTCAGTTCACACACCACAGAATACGAGATTGGAGTGGACTATGCTAAAATTTACCAGAGCTCCTCCCTATACAGGTACGCATGATGTAATCATAATGCTACATCCATTGGGATGTAAGTTGGATTGAATAATAAAAATTATAATATGATTAATATTTACCTTTCAGGGAGAACAAACTTCTTATTGAAGAGCTTGGAAAACCAACGCCAAACACAGAAGATCTACATTTCCCTCCAAGATATTGGCTAAACTTTAGGGCACAATGCATCGCTTGCCTATGGAAACAAAGATGTGCATATTGGAAAAATCCAGAGCATAATGTTGTTCGATTCCTAAACACGTTTGTTCTATCAATTATGTTTGGAACTGTATTTTGGCAAACTGGATCAACCATGTAAGTAGGAATGAAAAAACCTAAGGAATTTCTTTCATGAAAAATATATCATACCTCTACTATGTCATAACTTGCTTTACCTATGGAACAGTAAACAACAACAAGATATATTCAACATACTAGGGCTCATATACGGATCAGCATTGTTTCTTGGCTTCAACAATTGTTGTATCTTACAACCGGTTGTGGCAACAGAGAGGATTGTTCTCTACCGAGAAAAGGCAGCAGGCACATACTCTACCTTGGCCTATGCCATAGCTCAGGTAATATTACTTTACTCGTCCACTCTAAAATTAAGTTAAGAATCTAAAGCTATAATGCTTGGCAATATTTTTTCAACTATAATGTTAAAATTCTATCTGCAGGTGGCGATTGAATTGCCTTACATGCTTGTCCAAGTATTCATATTCGCGACAATCGTATACACAATGATTGGATTCCAGATGACCGCCAATAAGTTCTTTTGGTTTCTACTTTACATGGTGCTAAGCTACATGTACTACACACTCTTCGGGATGATGACTGTGGCGCTAACACCAAACATTGAGATAGCTTCTGGATTGTCCTTCCTTATCTTCATCTTTTGGAACATCTTCTCCGGCTTCATGATCGGAAGAGAGGTATGGCCCTCACTCTACCAACTAGTACCCCCCCCCCCCAATATTTTTCACTATAACTACAATACATACTTGAGAGAACATGGGAAATTAGGGTCATGGAATCCCCAACTAACCCCTCAATAGATTGCATATTTCATACCAACTTCATATTAATATAATACCCTTACAAACCAATGTTACATATTTGAAATAAGATTTCTTTCCTTCAAAGGAATAAATAAACAAAAAAATGGAGGATAGATTGTGCATGATTAAATTGACGAACAAAAACAATGTGGCAATGTGGACGCAGATGATCCCAGTCTGGTGGAGGTGGGTGTATTGGGCAAACCCAGCAGCATGGACGGTGTACGGACTCATGTTCTCCCAGCTTGGTGACCGGATAGAGCCAATTCTTGTACCTGGGCAACCAAACCAAACAGTGCGGGAGTTCCTCGAAGGCTACCTTGGCCTCGAGGACCACTACTTCAACCTTGTCACGTACCTTCACGTGGTCATCATCGCCCTCTTCGCCTTTATCTTCTTTATCTCCCTAAAGTATCTCAATTTCCAACGGAGATAGCACAAATCAATTCAATGTTGTCATGCGAACTACAAATACACCAAGAGGCAAACCCACTTAATTGTATAGATCTAAGAAAATATTATCACCCAGTTGACCGTAAGCACAATATCACATGGATTTTGATTCAAGAGAAAATGTGTAAGAAATCATATGATTTGTGTGAGAAGTTGTATATTATATGTACCAAATTTATTGAAAATTTCGGCCTTGTATTAAGTCAAAACTCTTCTCCTTGATCAAGTCTGCTGAAAAAATATGCCGGCATCTAAAACATCATATTAGTTTCGTCACATTCATCATAAAATATATATCCACTACGAATAATTGACGTTAGAGACATTAGCACATATTTTCTATAGCTTTTGTTGTAATAAATCACATTTTTTTAAATGTCATGTTCATATTATTTTTTATGGATTTTTACATATATAGAGAAGTTTGACTTAGGACCAATCGTAGTGGTGATGCAGAGGAAAGTTCATGTTTAGGTCACTCGAAGATATATGTCACAGTTGTTGCAAAACTTGTTGTGAAACGTAGTCATCGGATCACACTTGAAAATTGTAAGTTGTTCTATCACATATGCCAACAAACACGCGATTCAGACAAGCACATAGCACAGTCCTGAGCATAATAACAATAATTAACACCAGATATTACAAAAAATCTTTGGTGTACAAGACTTTGCTCATTGCCTCTTGGTTTCCATCGCTAATCCATCCAGATAGGAAAGCAATGATAAATCCCAGCATACAAACATGAGGATCCGCTATATGATGCTCGCAAAAATATTTTTGCCCTGACAGCGTGTCGCCTTAGAACACGAAGTTCCATCCATCTGAAGATCACAGACATGCACTTGTTCTTGCGACAGGAGTTGTGGCCACATGGAAAGACAGTGCGGGTGAGCCAGTCGCGCCATAGTGCAACTCAATAAATAGAACTCCAGCGCATCAATGCATGTACCTCAGCGGTTTTGCTAGAGCACAGTGGTGTTTCGTAAGCTCTTGTAAACCTTTATGCGACATAACGCCAGCAGTCACCATTCTTGTAGCACCAAACTAGCCCAGTAAAACATGCTAGTGGTGTACCCCCTCCGTCCGGAAAAACTTGTCCCTCAAATGGATATATCTAGTACCAAGTTAGTGCTAGATACATCCATTAGATGGACAAGCTTGGGACAAGTTTTTTCAGGCGAAGGGAGTACAAATTCCCAGTGGATTTTGTACTGTACTTTAGCAAATTCCAAAAAAAAACTTGTTACTGAAGCTCTGTTCCATTACTAGAACTTCTATATATATGCACGTACCCGAACTTATGTTCCATTACTATAGAATAATACGTAGTACTCATCTTCTTCCTGAAGTACAAGTGCTAGCTCCCAACTTCCATACTCTTCCACGCCATGGCCAACAGCTCATCTTGTTCGGTTAACAGGCCCATATCCGAGACCGAGACCGAGACCGAGACCGAGACCTCGTCCAGATGCCTGACATGGTACGTACGTCACCACCGCCCACAACTTTGAGGTGACTAGCTAGCTACTCGCGGCGGCTCGAGGGTATCGCCGTATCGGCAAAGTCAAGGTCGTTAGCTCGATCGAGCACATTCAGTGTCAGCGGCTATACAACAACGGCTGTCAAGGTGAAGTACATTTTGAGTACATATATACTGGAGACAGATGGAAAGGTCAGTAGAAATTTAGAGGTCGAAATTAACACATAGTACTACCTTTCAGTCAGTCGGTGATACTTGGGGCGCTGGACCAAGTTCATTGAGATGCCCAAACTTTTTTCTTGTTTTTGTTTTAATTGAGAAGCCCAAACTGCAATGATGACTGCTTCACGCTGAGGCTCAGGTGCCTTCTCTTCTGACAGAAGGTGATAGAAGAGCCTCACACTGAAGATGTAAGCAGAGTCATATATAGTCCAAGTCCCGCAGTCCAGTCGGACCTCCAAACACGCAAACTTGACAAACAATTGAATTTTAGAAAACCACCACATTGACGCATAGAAAACACCCTTTTAGGAATTTGGGCCAGAAACCACTGACTTTCGTCTTTTTTTTGTAAAAAACACTGATCAGTCTATTTGAACATTTTAACCGCGACTATGACATGTGGGGCCTGCATTCGATGATGTGGCATAACACTCACAATAGACAATGTGAGACTGATCTTTTTCAAAAAGAACCCTCCCTCCAAAAAAATATCCCTTCCCTACCCGATCCAATCGGGATCAGGCCCCCGCCGCCGTTCCCGCAGACCAGCGCCGCCGCGGCCTGGGCCAAGATGCTCGCGCCTCCTTATTGCGCAGTGGCGGCTCTGGCCTCGTGCCTGCCACGACCATAGCCTAGTCAAGGTCGAGGTTGAGGTAGGTGGCCACAGCCGAGGCGCACGAGTCGGTCGGTGTCCTGCTCCTGGAAGCATGGGGTAGGGGGGCTACTGGCGGCTCTCGCTTCCGAATCACCACACAGAATGGCCGTCGCCTCCTCCTTCAAGCACAACGGCAGTCCAACGGCCTAAGCACGGAGCAAGCAGCGGCGGCGGCAGCGTGCAGCACCAGAGCAAGAAGACTAGTGGTGGTAGCGCATCACCGGAGCATGCAACGGCGCGCCGGCGAGCATAACGGGCACAAGCAGCACAGCAGCGAGCAAGCAGCTGTGGCGCGCAGCACGAGCGCAGCCAAGCAAAAAGCCTCACTGGTGAGCTCCGCTGCCATCGGGGCACCGTGAAAGCACAAAGTGCTCCCTGGGTGATTTTGGTAATTAATGTCAACATATCTCTTGTTGGACTAACACTTTTACCTAGTATGTTTCAGATAAGTTCAACAATGGAGTGCCATGGACTAGAGGATGTGGAACCCCTTCAAGACGCTAAGGACAAAGGATTGGCTCAAGCTCAAAGCACAAGACTCTACATTTTCTATTTTAGTGATCCAAGATCACATTGAGTCCATAGGAAAGTCAATACTATTAAGAGGGGATGAGGTGTTGCTTAATGAGTTTCTTGCTCAAAATGCTTAGTGATATGCTCCAAAGCCCTCAACTACTTTCTCACATCCACATATATCCCAAACCAAAAGTCAAACTCAGCCCTACCGTATCTTTCTATCCGGCGCCACCGAGTTCTGTTGACATAGCCACTGCCACAAAACTCTAGTCTTTTCGGTCTCACTGATAGGGATCTCGGTCTCACCGAGATGGGATTGTAATCTCCATGTATGTATCCATTACCAAAATCGGTCCCACCGAGTTTGTGTAATCGGTCCTACCGAGATTACAATGCAAACTCTTTGTTCCTCTCCGTAACATTTCGGTCTAACCGAGATGAGCGAATCGGTCCCACCGAGTTTGCCTGACCAACTCACTGGTTAGCTTATTACCAAAATCGGTCCCACCGAGTTTGTGTAATCGGTCTCACCGAGATTACGTTATGCCCTAACCCTAACCATATAGGTCCCACCGAGTTGACATGTCGGTCCCACCGAAAATCCTAACGGTCACATTATTTGCTAAATCGGTCCGACCGAGTTTCACGATTCGGTCCCACCGAGATTGGTAAGTTGTGTGTAACGGTTAGATTTTTTGTGGAGGCTATATATACCCCTCCACCCACTCTTCATTCGTGGAGAGAGCCATCAGAACATGCCTACACTTCCAATATACATTTTCTGAGAGAGAACCACCTACACTTGTGTTGATGTCAAGATATTCCATTCCTATCATATGAATCTTGATCTCTAGACAAGTTGCTTTCCACTCAAATATTCTTTCCACCAAATCCAAATCCTGTGAGAGAGAGTTGAGCGTTGGGGATACTATCATTTGAAGCACAAGAGCGAGGAGTTCATCATCAACACACCATTTGTTACTTCTTGGAGAGTGGTGTCTCCTAGATTGGCTAGGTGTCACTTGGGAGCCTCCGACAAGATTGTGGAGTTGAACCAAGGAGTTTGTAAGGGCAAGGTGATCGCCTATTTCGTGAAGATCTACCCTAGTGAGGCAAGTCCTTCGTGGGCGACGACCATGGTTGGATAGACAAGGTTGCTTCTTCGTGGACCCTTCATGGGTGGAGCCCTCCGTGGACTCGCGCAGCCGTTAGCCTTCGTGGGTTGAAGTCTCCATCAACGTGGATGTACGATAGCACCACCTATTGGAACCACGACAAAAACATCCATGTCTCCAAATTGCGTTTGCACATTCTAATCCCATCCCTTTACATTCTTGCAAGTTACATGCTTTACTTTCCGCTGCTCATATACTCTTTGCATGCTTGCTTGTTATGTATTGTGATTGTTAAACTTGTGCCAAAACTCCACTTCAACTTAAAGAAATTAAAAACTGCAACTTTTCTCACTTAGTGTCTAATCACCCCCCCCCCCTAGACACATCTTCTCGATCCTTTCAATTGGTATCAGAGCTTTGGTCTCCATTGCTTTGGTTTAAACACCATTGGAGGAAGATGGATGAGTCTACTTTGGGGAGTCTTAGACATAGAGTGCCTATACTTGATGGAGAGTACTTTCATGAGTGGAAGAATGAGATGCTTGTGATTTTCAATGAATATCATTTGAACAAGTACATTACTAGCCCTTGTGCACCTCATGTTGATCCTATGCATCCTATCCTTGATTAGTCAATTGACATGATTCGCAATCTTAGAACTATTGATCTAATCATGAGAGGTTTGCCTAGAAGTTTGATAGGTTGCTTGCCTACTCTTAAGTGTGCCTACACCATATGGAAATTTCTTGAGGAACGATTTCCAAATTATTCCTTGAAAAATCACTACAAGAAATCTGTTAATACATGACGGATCTGATCCGTCATGGATAAGTGAAATACTGTCATAGGTGCCCATACATGACGAACATGAAGTCTGTCATGTATATCACGTCATAATTTGACATCGTTCCTTCCTTGACAGTTCTTGACCGTCATGGATCTGCCCCAAGCCCGCCCAGGCCCAAACCATTGTGATAGAACAATCCGTCATGGATTAATGCCACGTAGGATTTTCAATTAACCAACATGGCTGCCTACGTGGATACTATTTTCGTCATAAAAATCGTCACAGATTTAGGTACAGTATAAATTGGGTCGAGCCCATTATTAGCACATTTATTTCGACCTAATTTTCAACCAATACATTTTTAGCATAATGCATCACACAAATCCTAATGCCAACTTTGACCCAAGAGGAAGTATTTGCAAGGTGTCAAACATTACACGGTTCATTGAGTATGCAACCAACTGTATGTATGTACAACATAGCAGTTTATTCCTCCAAAATTCTCTATGAAATGATAACTTACAACATAGATTGACAAAATATATCACATCAAGGTTAGGAACCAGCACGGTCAACATCAACAGACCATATAAACTATTAAGACTCTTATTCGTGTTCTTGTCCTCGGCTCTCTTGTGGCAATGATCTTCTCGTGGCTGATTGTGATAGGAAACACCAAGTAGCTTGCTACCCAATCTTACCTAGCATATTTACAAGAATATTAGATACTTGTAGATATGAATAGATAGTAGAAATAAGAGAATTGCAACAAAGATAAAAATGAATTACATGTTGTCTAAGATTCTTAAATCTTAATAATGCTACAAATGAGAATAACATTACATCTACTATAAAACAAGAAGAAACATGAGGTTTCTTAAAATTAATCCAAAGAAAAGTTGTGTCAAATGAAAGTCAAAAGATAAAGAAACAAAACACACATCACAAAACTCCCAAGTGCTATAGGAGATGCAGCATACGGGCCTGGTTGTTCTGCAGCAGCAGCTTTCCAATGCGCTACAAAATTTTCAGCATCATGAACAATGAGAATGAATGGTGATAAATAGTATTCTACCAAGTAAATAATATTCTATCATGAACAAAAATTTCAGCATCATGTTGAGCTCATTCCACCAAGTAAATAGTCAGACTTAAAGTCAGGCTAAGTAACCATCAGATTCACCATTCCAATTGTGCAGATGTACAATAATATTAGTTGAATTTGTTTTCTTTCACTTGACAATTAACATGTTTGTAAACCAAATCAGAGACAACATAACAGATTGCTTTAAAAAGTGAAATTTAAGCTAACAAACTGGCTATTGCATACATACATCTTCATTTACTTATCTCCATAAAAGAAGAATTCCTAGTGTGTGATAATTGTATGGGTGGGGGTACTCACTGGATACAACAGAGGCATAATACAACAACACACAATTGATAATTTTGCCTTGTAACACAACTATGTACAATAAAAGCATCATGTAGCACCCATGGTGGCAGCAACGCCACAATTTTACACATGGGTCAAGAAGAAGGATGACATGTAAGAAATCATGTTCCATGTTGCATAGAAAGAGCATTGGTTATTCATCACACATGCCATGGAATATGGAAAACAATGGAACTGCTGCACCGTAGTACTTACATGTGTTTCTTGATTTTGATCAACATGCAACGCCTCAAGCTCCTTGGTTGCTGCCTCAAGCTTAACTGCTCAACTAGTGTGTACTTAGTAAGAAGACCCAAACCTGGATCAGTACAATAGAAAAACTAATCATAACTGGTATATTTTAGAAAAGGTCTTGTAATGCAAATGAGTAAATACTTAACTACTTTTGAATACCTTACAGAAATTTGCAACATCATGAATAGTAAGGGGGAATGGTTTTAACCAGTTAAAATGCTGCTGCTAGAAGGTTTGCAACATCATGAATAGCACAGGAAATAAGCACTTTTGAATACCTTACGGAAATTTGCAGAAATCTGCAACATCATGAATAGCACGCGAAATAAGTAAGTACAGGGAAAATGTACGACCAACAAGTCCACCCATCAAGCTAATGTCAAAGCAAGCAAATTCTTTTCGCGAAAGCTGAAAAGCTAACAAAAGCAAAACTGAAAAGTACTACTGCTGCTATATTGTGGGCGTCGATCAGGAAGGAGATGTACAGACTATATTGTCCAGAACGAGGAAATTAGTCTAAAATCGGATGTGCAGTTTCATTTTATTATTACTAACACACAAATTTTGTCTCACCTGAACCAATTCTTAAGAATCAGGCCTTCCCAAATGTTTTTATTGACTAACTGAATTCTTACAGAACTAATTCAAATGGATACTAACTGAACTGAGAAAGAACAAGGTACAATGGGTGTCCATGACGGATTTGGAATTGTAGCTACAAGCCATGGAGAAATAAAAAAGCCAACCTACAAATCACCAAAGGACCATGCCAAAATTCTAAGTAACATCCTAGGAAAATTGTTGATTAGCATGAGTATTGACTATAACCCCACTGGACCTAAATAGCAAACAAAATTATCAGTGGAACAAGCATTCAACTTGAAATTCCACAAGCCAAAAATTCAGGAGGCTGATGAAATTCAGGACATAAAACATTTGTTCAGACTAGGTGAGTCTGATCCTGGACAAATGTGTAAACCAGGGATGATGGATGGAAAGGGTACCTCATTGCCAGCTTAACTTTGTACTGTGATTTGTGTATCAGATCAAGCTATCAATTACTGTTAGTTTTGAAGTGTAGTTTCTGAAAAAATATTCCAAACAAAAAATTGGAGGGCACGACATTTGTCTTCAAACCACAATTTTGTCCATGTGCTTACCAGATATCTAAGTTGGAAATAATTTGGAAATATTAAACCTAGAAGGGACCTAATAATGCACTGAAACTAATGTTCAATTCGATTATATGAATCAATCGATAGCGTAATTCTGATCCAAAGATAATTTCACATACTGTGATTGGATGCAATGTATTTTCGCAATTTTTTAAAATACTATGATTTCTGAAATAACTTTGGTATAAAATACTTTGAGGGGATTGAATAAAACAAATAATGTACTTCCATATCTATCATACTGTGGTTTTTTTGCGGTATTTAAAAAAGAGGTTGGGGCCTCTTTTTACTAAACTGAACTAAAAGAACTCGTCGCCTCGCCTACGTCCAAAGTTGATAAAATGAGAGTGGTTTTTAGAAACTTGAATATTCCTTGCCCACAGATTTAAAAACTATGGTTACAGATTTTTTTTAAAAGGTGCTGCCAAACTATGCTATGTTCAATCTGAAACAGCAGAATGTAACACTTCATCATTATTTCAATCCTAAGGAAGCATCCCAACTTAAATCAAGCAACCGATTCTGAAGTATCTAATTTGACAACCTAACATAGCAAAACAAATCTCAAAACAGAGAGTAGACATGCAGATATGTATACTAATAATCTGTAGTAAATCTTAAAAACAGGGGACTGCATGACGGATAACAGCTACATCTGATTAAAAAATAACTATAGATCCAACCCCAACTAATTATATCTTGTGCATGGGAATAGAACAACGACTGCTCGCACTAGAAGAAATTCTAGATGGCTGCACGTACCGGTGATGGTGTTGGTGGGGTTCATTGCGAGATGGTTCAGGCGATGTAGGAGGGTGTGGTGTGGTTGCCCTGGTCGTTGGCCATGATCTCAACCTGCTGCCACATGCCGGCGTAGGAGTAGGTCGTCCCGAGGTCGATGCCGATCAACGGACCCTCGCCCTTGGTCATCTCCTCCTCACACCCGTAGGAGCCCACGCCTGGGTTCGGTTGATCCGATTTGGGCGCCAGTGTTGGCTGCCAAAATCGTGCCCTAGTGTGGTGGTGCCCGCCGGTGCCGTGCCCGGATGGACCACGCGTCGTTGCGTCGCACCTCGCGTCTTCCAATTGTCGGAGCAGTCGCGTGCGGCTTGCATGTTTCTGCTGCCTGCAGTCGACAAAGGAGAAGGCGGGGAGGACAAGAAGATTGAGATCCAGGAGTGACCTCGACGGATCCATCCGCTGGCTCTGCAGATCCGGCCCCTGGCTCGGCAGATCCGGCAGGTGCGGTGGGTTGATGTCCTTTCCTTGACCCAATCGGCGGAGCACGGGTTAGTGCCTGGAAGGAGCGGAGTTGGGCGTGGAGTTGCTTGTCTGGATGTTTCCTAGCCACGGGAACGTCTTGCAAGCTAGCTCTGCGGGATGAGACTGGTGAATCTAACCGGAAGGAAGGAATGAGGGGAGCGAGGGAAGGATGAGGGTGTGCTACGCGCCGGCCATAGGCGCCGGAAGTCGCCGGAATCGGGCGACGCTAGGAAGGAGTGGCGTGGTGGACAGAGAGGGGCTCTGGCTGCGCCGCTAGGGAGGAGGAGGGAGGGGCGAGGAGGAGAGTTTAGGGTTAGCCCTATATACACGGAGCGGTTAGGCGGGCTTGAGTGGGCTTGAGCGGGCTTGCGGGGCTGTACTAAGCCGTCCATGACAGTTTTGAAAATGTCACCAAAAATCCGTCATGTATTAACAGATTTCTTGTAGTGAATCTAGATGAAATTCTCCATAAGTCTATTGCCTTGAGTAAGATGAATTCCAATGATCCTATGTTTGGTGATTGTCTATTTGAGCTTACAATCTTATGCGTACCAAAGGAGATGTTGGAATCATTAGCGATATTATTTCCGAAGCTACTAGAATTCATAGAGAAGATCGTTGTCAAACTCACTCTAATGAATCACCCTCTCTAGGATTTGATCCACCACATGACGATGTTGAACATGGATACTATGATGAGGATGATGATAGTGACTTTGATGATGGAATGAGACACTTTGGTCTTATGGCAAATCTTCAGGGATATATGGCAGGAGGAAAGGAATGGGTTCTTGATATTGGATGTACCGATCACATGACCGGAGATAAAGATATGTTTCGTGAGCTTGCTGAAAATGACGACCCTCGAAAGTGTGTCACTTTTGGTGACAACTCAAAGGGTAAGGTGGTTGGCCTCGGTAAGGTGGCAATCTCACATGATAGCTCCATTCAAAATGTCATGCTCGTTGAATCTCTTGGCTACAATTTACTTTCAGTATCTAGACTTGCTGATTTCGATTTCAATGTCCTATTTACTGAAGTAGATTGCCAAGTGTTTCGTAGAGATAATCATAAAATGGTCTTTACCGGTATACATAGAGGTGATCTTTACATTGTTGATTTCACTAAAAAGGCTCAACCTAGAACTTGCCTAATTGCTAAATCCTCTAAAGGTTGGTTATGGCATAGATGATTAGGTCGTGTGGGCATGCGAAACCTTGACAAGCTTATTAAAGGAAACCATATCCTTGGCGTTAATGATGTCATATTTGATAAGGATAGACTCTGCAGCGCTTGTCAAGCAGGTAAACAGGTTGGAGGAAGGCATCCCGTGAAGAACATCATGACCACAAGGAGGCCACTCGAGCTACTTCACATGGATCTTTTTGGTCCCAACTCCTACAAAAGTCTCGGTGGAAATTCTTTTGGTCTAGTTATAGTTGATGATTTTTCAAGATTTACGTGGGTGTTCTTTCTCGATGATAAATCGCAGGTCCAAAAGATCTTCAAAAACTTCGCTAGGAAGGCCCAAAATCAATTTGAAGTGAAGATCAAGAAGGTTCACAGCAACAATGGAACGGAGTTCAAGAACGCAAATGTGGACACCTTTCTTGACGAAGAAGGGATTTCACATGAGTTCTTGGCTACGTACACACCTCAACAAAATGGAGTTGTTGAGACGAAGAACTGGACGCTCAAATGGCAAGAACGATGCTTTATGAGTACAAGACGCCAAAGCACTTTTGGGCGGAAGCGGTTGAGATAGCTTGTCACGCAACAAATCGCTTGTATCTTCACAAGCTACTCGGCAAGACGGCATACGAGCTCCTCACTGGTAACAAACCCCAAGTTGGGTACTTTCGAGTATTCGGCTCAAAGTGCTACATTCTTGATAAGCATCGTCATTCTAAATTTGCTCCTAAGTCTCGTGAAGGTTTCCTACTTGGTTATGGCTCAAACTCTCACACTTACCGTGTCTACAATAATTTCACCCGAAAGGTTGAAGAGACGGTAGATGTGAAGTTTGATGAATCTAGCGGCTCGCAAGTAGAGCAATTGCCAATTGATGTAGGAGACAAAGACCCTTCGGAAGCAATCCAAGAATTGTCTATTGGCAAGATTCGTCCAATGGAGGTGAAGGAGAGTACCTTGTCCATCCAAGTGGAAGCTTCTACCTCACGACAAGGTGAACCAAGAGTTGATACAGAAGCATCCACAAGTGGGACACACCAAGACAAAGAAAACGAGGAAGTACACCAAGATGAACATCAACAACCTCCTTCCCCACCATGACAAGGGAACGACAACGTCAACAATGAAGAAGGCCAAGAAGAAGAACAAGATGAAGAAGATGTTCCACCAAGATCCAAGCAAAAGCTTTCACGAGTTCGGGCAAGAGTTGCTAAAGACCATCCCGTCGAGCAAATCTACAATGATATCCAAACCGGGAGAATCACTCGCTCTAAAACTCGTTTAGCTAACTTTTGTGAACACTATTCATTCATCTCTAGCATTGAACCTATGAAGGTTGAAGAAGCTTTGGAAGATCCGGATTGGATAAACGCCATGCATGAAGAGCTACACAACTTTGAGAGAAATCAAGTTTGGACATTGGTTGAGAAGCCCGACAACAACCACAACATCATCGGTACCAAATGGGTGTAACAAGCAAGATGAAGATGGACAAGTAGTTCGCAACAAAGCACGTCTCGTCGCCCAAGGCTACACCCAAGTCAAAGGTATGGACTATGGTGAGACTTATGCCCCCGTTGCTAGACTTGAGTCCATTTGCATCTTACTTGCCTATGCTAATCACCATGATATCACCTTGTACCAAATGGACATTAAAAGTACTTTTCTAAATGGTGAAATAGAGGAGGAAGTTTATGTTAAGCAACCTCCCGGCTTTGTCAATCCTAAGAAACCTAATCATGTTTACAAATTTCACAAAGCTCTTTATGGTCTTAAACAAGCTCCTAGAGCATGGTATAAATGCTTGACCAAGTTCCTTATTGAAAAAGGCTTTGAAATTGGAAAATTTGATTCTACTCTTTTTACTAAAAGGGTTAATGGAGAACTATTTGTGTGCCAAATCTATGTTGATGATATTATATTTGGTTCGACTAACCCTCACTTTAGTGAGAAGTTTGGAAAGCTAATGTCGGAGAAGTTTGAGATGTCGATGATGAGTGAACTCAAATTCTTGCTTGGTTTGCAAATCAAGCAAACTAAGGAAGGTACCTTTGTATCTCAAACAAAGTACACCAAGGACTTATTCAAGAAGTTCAATATGCAAGAATGCAAATGTATGACTACACCCATGCCTACTAGTGGACATCTTGATTTGACCAAAGATGGTGAACCGGTTGATCAAAAGGTTTATTGCTCTATGATTGGTTCATTGTTATATCTATGTGCTTCACGTCCCGATATTATGCTAAGTGTGTGCATGTGCGAACGATATCAAGCGGCTCCTAAAGAATTTCATCTTAAGGCTATGAAAAGGATAGTGAGATACTTAATCCATACACCAAATTTTTGCATTTGGTATCCTAAGAGGGCCTCCTTCAATCTTGTTGGCTATTCCGATTCGGACTATGCCGGTGACAAGGTTGATAGAAAGTTCACTTCGGGTACTTGTCAATTTATTGGTAGATCTCTTGTGTCTTGGTCTTCCAAGAAACAAAACTCGGTATCCTTATCGACCGCCGAAGTGGAATACATTGCCGCTGGTTCATGTTGTGCTCAATTACTTTGGATGACCCAAACTCTTAAATATTATGGGATATATGTGAAACATGTTCCATTACTTTGTGACAATGAAAGTGCTATCAAGATTGCTCACAATCCCGTGCAACATTCTCGCACTACTAGGAAAAGGCATGCTAGTGGCGCACCAGTTTTGCCTACTAATGGCGCACTACTGGTGCGCCACTAGCATCACGCCATTAGAATATTTTAGTAATGGCGCACCACAGGTTCGCCATTAGTATCTGGTATACTAATGGCGCACCACAGGTGCGCCATTAGTAACCCACAGGTGCGTCATTAGTATCTCGTATACTAATGGCGCACCACATGGAAGTGCGCCATTAGTAACAATTTTTTAATTTTTTTTTTGGTTTTTTCTTAATTTCAGATCACTATTTCACATATGAGATATCCAACACATATATATACAACAAGCATCCATATAACAATCATATTCAACACACAAGTTTCATCACATATACATACATAACCAACACATAGTTCCATCGTTACATATTACAAAAGTTTCACATTGTTCATCCAACACCGTTATCCATCAATTCACAAAAGTTTCACATTGATACAAAATAAAAACACAAATGGAAAAGAAGCACTCCATCCATGCAAGCTTCCGTGAATTAAATCAAATCTGCAAAATGATAA